GGAAATGCATCTTGGGGTTCTTGTCTTTTCTTTTTTTTTTTTAAATAATTCATTTAACTTTATTTTGTGTGCATTGGTATGAAGGCACCAGAGCCCCTGGAACTGGAGTTGCAGACAGTTGTCAGCTGCCATGTGGGTGCTGGGAATTGAACCTGGGTCCTCTGGAAGAGCAGCCCGTGCTCTTAACCACTGAGCCATCTCTGCAGCCCCATGTCTTGGGTCTCTGATGATTTTGTCAAGTCATAAGTTATGAATCTGGGACTCCTTTTATGTGGAAGCCCCCACTCCCTGCTTTTTTTTTTTTTAAGCCACTAATATTTCTAAACTTAGTTACATGCAGTCAGACTTAATTGGCCATACTTATGTCTTCTCTTCCTTAATCAAATATATCAAATCCACCCCAGGGAAGATTATTTTTTTGAGGTAGGGGCTCTTGTGACCAAGCTGTCCTTTAACTTACGATGTGGTTGAGGCTGACCTTGAACTTCTAATCTTCCTCCTCCTACCTCCCAAGTGCTAGAAATCCAGATGTGCACTGCCATGCCCATCTCAGAAAATCTTTAATAAGAAAAATCAACTATTTTGGAGAGTTTACTGTAACAGCCTGAATGCTGGGTTCCTGACATATACGAAACAGACTGTAGAGTAAGAAGGTACAGAGAAGACAGGAAACATCCAGGTTCTTCGGGACTCACAGGATCGCTGACAACTCCAAGTTGCAGTCCATTACTGGGGATAGTCAGGGCGGGAACTTGATAGTCAAGGCAGGGCTGCTTACTGTTGTACACAGCATTACCTTCAACCAAGGAACTCACTTCACAGCCAAGGAGCACAGCAGGAATCATGGAGAATGTTGTTTGCTAGCTGTCTCACGTGCTGGTCCATGCTCTGCTTGAAGGGATGATAAACGGGTTGAGGATTTAGCTCAGTGGTAGAGTGCTTGCCTAGGAAGCGCAAGGCCCTGGGTTCGATCCTCGGCTCCGGGGGTGGGAGGGGTGTTGGGGGGGGAAGAAAAAAGAAAAGAAAAGAAAGGATGATAAACGGCGCTGGTGGTGGTGCTGGTTACAGCATGGAAAGGTCACAGTCAAAACAGAACCCAGTGTTAGTTTTCAGAGCTTTATTAGGAGGGAAGGGAGAGGGGAAGAGGGGACCAGGCCTGGGGAGGAGAGAAAGATGGGTGGGCGGGGAAGGGGGCAGAGCTGAGTAGAGAGAAAGAGCAGGGTCTGTGTCCGGCTTGTAAGGTGCATACGTAATCGCCAGTGCACACTGATGATGTAAGACGCAAGACCCTGAACTGCCCATGTGCAGGAGTGAGGGCGGGATCCTAACACTGCTGGCGCCAACCACAGGCCTAGGGTTGGTGCTGCCCACAGTGGGTCGTGTCCTGCTATATTGGTTAACAACCAAAGCAATCCTCCATAGCTACGTCCACAAGTGGAGGCAGTTTCTCAATTGAGATTCTCCTCTCAGGTGATGTTAGGTTGTGTCAAACTGACAGTGAAAGCCATCCGGGATGGCCTTGTATGTAGAGCAAGCTGACTTGAACTTACAGCAGATCCTCCTGCCTCTGCATCCGAAGTGCTGGGAATTTTCGCCTATACTTGCCCTGCCTTTTGAGGTCTCTTTATGTGAGACAGTAAGTGATTAATTAATTAATTAATTATTTCTCTACACATAGCCCTGGCTGTCCTTGAACTCAAAGAGATCCACCTGCCTCTGTCTCCAAGTTGGGATTAAAGGCTTGGGCCACCCTGCCAGGCTGTACTTGACATTTTAAAGTTGCTTTTGTTGATTATTCTGCTCCTTGGAATAAGCCTGCTTCATTCAAACAGTATCGTGTGCTATATTCACACCCACCCACTCGCTGGAAGCGAAACAACAAAACCATTCCTGGTGAAACTGAATATCAGCTGGTCCTGCTGCTGTGTCAGAAGGAAAAATGTAGTTTTTGTGATATAATCACAGAGTCTTTCTATGAGTCTTCACAGGAAACAGACCATTACATGTTCATGCCAATTGTAGACAAAGTCCCCTCAATGTCCCTTTAAGTTGGAAATATATCAAAATGGCAAAAGGGACTGCCTTGTTCCTATTCATGATTTCATTTGGTTGGCCATTAAAAGTTTCTGACTCAAAATTTTACAAAAGGAAGAAAAAATGTAATCAAAATTCAATACCCTGAAAAGCTCCGAATGAACACACACACTGAAAACCTTTGTAAGAGAAAAGCACGTGTGTGTGTGTGTGTGTGTGTGTGTGTGTGTGTGTGTGTGTGCATGTGCTATTCTGAGACAAGGTTCACGCTGGAGGTTCACTCCTACAGTTCTCTTCAGTCCCAGCTGGGGTCCCTGTCATGGCAGCCCTCCTGCCTGCCTCAGAGTCTCCAGCGCTGGGGCTGCAGATGTGAGTCACTACACCCAGGGTATTTTCGTTTGTTTTCCCCTTTTGTCTCTTTTTTTTTTTTTTTTTTTTTTTTTTTTTTGTATTTGCGTACACGCATCCCGTGGTGCTTCAGGGAAGGTCAAAGGACAACTTTTGAGAGCCAATTCTCTTCTTCCAAAATATGGTTCACGGACTGAAGTCAGGCCACAAATTGGCAACAGGCACCTTTACCTTAAGAACCACCTTGCCAGCCTTTATTTTTTTATTTTTTTGAGACAGGATTTCCAAAAAAAAAGTCTTCTAGCTGGCCTGGAACTTGCTAAGAAGACTAGACAGGCCTCAAATTCAGAGATCTACCTGCCTCTGCCTTCCGAGTACTGAGATTAAAGGTATGTGTCATCATACCCTGCTGTCCCCTCTCCCTCACCCCCACCCCGGCCGCCCTCAAGACAAGGTTTCTCTGATTGTCCTGGAACTCATTCTGTAGACCAGGCTGGAACTCACAGAGATCCACCTGCCTCTGCCTCCGGAGTGCTGGGATTAACGACATGGTCCCCTCCTGTTTTTAAAGCAACAATAACAATAACAAATAAATAAACCTAGGCGAGGAAGGAAGATTGCCTGGAGTTCAAGGCCAGGCTTCTGGCACAGTGTAAGGCCCAATACCTGACATAAAAAAAGCCTAACATGGTGGATCACACCTGTAATTCTAGAACCACTTAGGATCACCATGAATTCTAGGCCACCCTGGTCTATATAGTAAAAATCCAGGCCTGTCTGAGCTACCCAAGATCTTGGTTTCCATTCTCCCACAAGTAACGAAACAGCCATACAAAGAGGCCTAGCCAATAGAAATACAATAATTTCTGTTTAGCCTTACACAGCGAACAGTGTTTGAATTTCAAGAGTATTTTCTGTTAAACGTAAATACAAGTCCATAAAATATTGTCTAACATATAAAGAGATAAGGAAGAAAAGACATCCCTGGAATCCTACACATGTGTTTTATGTTTATTAATGTGGGAGGAAGGTTCAATCTTCATTTTTTCCTATCTCGAAGTCGCTTAGTTTTTCTAGAGTTTTCTTGTGGTTCTAGGATTACCACGTCTATAGAGCAGAAATTCTGCATTCCATTTGTTGGCAGGGTTTCCTTGGACAAGATGAAAAGCGACAGATATGTCGATTTCCTCGTCGGAACAGGTTGCTTGAGTCAAGCACTGTCTGTTCTTTTAGACTGGCCAGGGGCCCCAGGTGTGTGAGCTGTCTTTGTCGAGTGCATCGTGGCTCCACCTAGCTCAGGTTCTGGCAGCTTCCTGCCTTTTTTTTTTTTTTTTAAGATTGTCCTGGGAAGTGAGCCTCTGCCTTTGCTTGAGGCTACCTCAGCAACTCAACCTTTCACCTACTTCAAGAAAAGTTCACAGACCAACTAAATAATACGTTGGGTTAAGAAAAAAAAAATCCTGCCATGAACAGTCTTCTAATATTACACCGGAGTGGTTGTTTCAGTCATTTGTGCTTCGCTCTGTGTGTGTTTGTTTGAATCGTGGGGGGGTGGGGGGGGTAAGGGAAGCAACCTTAATACATGCCTTTCCCTGGTGCGGTGTCCAAAACGATGTACAATGGCTAGCTAAACACACACACACACATTTCCCGTTCATAAACAATAATTTGGAGTAAACTTTCGCCCTTTGAAAACAAACATGAACCCTGGGGTACGCGAAGATTTTGAGGGGGGTAAACTGGTTACACACTGCGTTAAGTGAAGTCCATGCAAGAGAAATAATACTGGGCGTGCTTTGAGCTTTAGAACCTTTTCCCTCCACAGGCATTTCCAGACGTCATCCCCCCCACTCCTCACCCCCGCTTGCAAGATTTTGCTAGAAATTCCTGCTCCAACTAGGCTAAGGAATCCATTCCAGAGAAGAATGAAAAAAAACAAAAAAACCAATAACAAACCAAAAAACCAAGCATGCTTTTTCTCGATCGCTCTACATTGAGATTTTTCTGCATCCAGGCAGTGAAAGCGGGTTTTGCGGTTCTCTGCAGGGGGGGAAACCCTAGTCGCCGCCTCTCCTCTTCCCTCGTACCGCCCCCACCTTCCCCCACCCAGGTCCCGCTCCCCTCTGCAGCAGCAGCAGCAGCAGCAGCAGCAACCCGAGCAGCCGGTCCGTCCCGCCGCTCCCCTCCCGGAGGGTTCCATCCCCCCCCCGCCCGCCCCTCCGCCCCCCGCCCGCCCCAGACCCAGCCCCAGCCCCGTCCAGCCGGCGGCGAGCGGCTCGGCAGAATGACCTATAGTAACCTCGCCCCGCCCCCGGCCGCCAGCGCCGCGCTCCCGCCCCCCCCCCCGGCCCGGCATTTGATAGGCCCAGCCCCGCACGCGCCACCGCCCGCGGGCCAATGGGCGGCGGCCTCTTTGCATATGCAACGAGCGCCGGGCCGGGGCTGCGCGTCCTGGACTGCGGCTCAACAGACGCTGTTCAGCCGGCGCCGGGGGAGCGTCGTCGCTGCGGTTGCGGCCGGGGCTGCGGGCTGGGACGGAGAGCCGGCGGCGGCGGCGGCGGCGGCGGCGGCGGAGCAGCAGCAGCGGGAGGCGGAGCAGGCGGCGGCCGGTCGTCCTTCCGAATCCCGCAGGGCGGGCGGCCCCGGTCGCTCCGCCAGGGTCTTGAGGAGAGGTGGCGCTGGGGCGGGAACCGCTCCGGGGACCTAGCCAGGCCTGCCTGCGTGGGTCGGAGCCCACGGTGAGTGTGCGCAGCGCCCGTTGTGAGGAGACGGAGGGGCGGCGGGATGGCGGCGAGGCCCCCCCCCCCTCGGCATGCACGCGGCCCGCCGGTGCCTGAGGCGGGGGGAACGGCCGGGCCGCGGCGGGGTCGGGGTCGGGCTCGGGGGGGGCGGGGGTAAGGGGTGGGTGGAGGAGGGTGAGGAGTAGTAGTGGGGCGCCCGCGCGGCGTCGGTCGGGGAAACCGCCGGCGTGGAGCCCCGGCCGGGGGGGCGCGGGAGGAAGGATGCACCGCGGCCTCGGCTGCGGGCGCCGGCTGCGGGCGCGGGGGTGGGGTCGCCCCGCTCCACGCGGCCGCGCGGCGTCCGTGGGAGGGAACCCGCGCCCAGCGGGCTCCAGACACCCAGGCCGGGGCTTGCTGCGGGCGGGGAGGCGGGGGAAGCAGAAACTGCGGGTGCGGGGCGGTGGGACTGGCGTGGGGACCTCTCTCTCTCTCTCTCTCTTTCTGGTTTATCCTCTGAAGTGGGTTTTTAGTCTCCCACGAGTCAGTCATGCGGTGCACACACACCAGCAGCCCCCCCCGGGGGGGATCAGGTGTGATCGGGTGAAGGGATTTCACAGATGCAGATCCCGCAGCGGTGCCCGGTCTGGTTCTAGAACAGGCAACCTGATCTCTTCTCCGTAGATCCCCCTCCGAGATAGGAAAGGCAGGATAATTCTTGGGAATTATCTAGAAGCTAGAGAGGGGGCCGGCTTTGTGGAAGTGGTGATAACTAATCAGAATGACAGAGCTGAGATTATTGAGCCTTTGTTAAACGCCACACACCGAGTACTTTATGCACAGGTATGTTTACATTGTTAGTCCGCCAGGACGGATGCCAGTTCCCGTTTTACAGCGAGAGAACTCGCACCGTGGACACATTAACTTACCCCAGGTCTGAGCTAGTAGGAGAAACTGGAGCCTCTGGAGGGCCCCTCTGAATCCAGAGCACTTACTCTGATGGCTTCAGTAGCTTGCAGCTGTTGGCAGCATGAATGAACAGCTTTCACCGTGGCTTTGGGTCTGGGGGTGGGGTGGGGTGGGGTGGGGTTCTTGCTGGGCTCTTGCAGAGTTCGGTGTTGTTTTTCTTGTTTGTGGTAGCCAGTTTTGTATGTCCACGTTGGTTCTGGGAGTTGTTGAAGAAAGAAAGAAAGTGCTGCTGAGTTGCCTCTAAAAGCACAACAGGAGAAGCATATTTCAGAGAGGAAGTGTTGGGATGCTGGAGTCAGTTGCACAGACTTTGTGTTTTCTGGTATCTTCCTGTGCAGTTCTCATATATAGAGATGAAGGCTGATTGTAGTTTAAGTTATTCTTTGATTCGTCTGCCTTGATTGCAGTGACATTAGCCATAGGAGAGAGTCACCAGGTGTCTTTGGAGCCCAGTTACTGGATTTGTAGGACATTTGTGCGGTGTGACTTCAAGCACAAGTATTCTGAGTCCAAGATGTCGTCCTCAAAGAAAGAAGGGCAAAATGAAGGACATTAGGGGGAACGCCACTGGCTCATTCCTGATTCAGTTAATTGCTCACCTCGAGCCTTCCCGATTCTGTTAAGTCAAACACCTTGTCAGGTGCAGGGAAATACAACAGGGACAGAATTGATGTGATCTTGTGCCCTTAGGCAGGAATTAGACTCCAAGCCAATGATCTTGTAGATTTGGTGATTGCAAGCTATGTTCATGCAATAAAGGTGAGGTATTGAGTGAGTGGAGATTATGAGGATTTCGATTTAGATGGAAATTTGGGGAGCTGCCTTTTAAAAACTGATAGTGTGAGGTTTTCCTAGATTTCAGCCTTGTGTTCTGAGGCTGTAATTAAATGTACGTAGCACAATAGCTTAAACACTTTTGAGCAACTATAATTCTTTTCCTTTCAATATCTGTTTCCAACGGATTGTCATTTCAGCTCACGTTGCAAGAGATCTGAGTGAGATAGGGAATGTTTCCAAGCATTTATTCTGCCTCCCTTTAGGGTGCTTTAAGTTTAAATATTCCTGTAGTACTTCGATTTTTCTCCCCATGAATAGTTCAGAAGCAAGAATCTTTTATGAGCTTTGGATCTGAAGGTATGATTTAGACAATTCTCCCAATGCCCATGCTAGGCCCAAAGTGACAGGCTTTTCTAACTTTCAATAAGCAGCATCATAACTTTCGAAAGTATTCATTGTAGTTTATATTCTGGGTAATTTAACATGATTTCAACTCGTAGCTAGATGTGGTGGCACACACCTTTTATCCCAGCACTTGGGAGGCAGAGGCAGGGGGATCTCTGAGTTCAAGGCCAACCTGGTTTTACGTAGTCCACGTAGTGAAACCCTGTCTCCAAAACCAACCAACCAAACACATTTCAATTCTTAAGAAGCAAGAAAAACCAGGCATGAATTGGGAAATATAAACTGCTAACTATATAAATATTTCAGTCCAGCATTTAAAACTGTCATATGTTAGATTAGTTGAGCCTTTAAAGAGGTTATGATGATGAGCGGAAATTTCAAGAACGCGGAGGGAGATGTTAGATGTAAAGTTGTCATGGAATGGTAATAAATACATGAACTGCGAGGAGAAGGCACTGTTTCAGACTCAGGCAGCTGGAGGGCAGTGCCTGCGCTCTTCTCTGAGCCGAGGCTTATTGGGAAAGAACTAGGTTTTGGATGTGGGAGAACATGTTTTCTAGATGTAGAACTGTTCCGTTGGAGTTGCCTTTTCTTTAGGGTACTGGGTTAGTATTCAGAAGTAGAATGGACTTAAGCCACTTGGGGACCTTCTGTTGGAGAGGTGATAGTTTCTGAAGCCATGTGCATGTCAGGCTGCCTATGGAGCTCACAGACGAGCAGAAAGAGGCTTGTGTTAGTACTGACCAGAAGAGGCAGTTTGCAAAAGAACTAGGAAGAGTGGCGTTATTGTGTGTTATTGTGACAAAAAATATCTGCTCAAAGAAGGCAGGAAAGATTTCTTTTGGCTCATAGTTTCCAAGATGTCATTGTCTTTTAGTGGGAGGGAGAGGGCTTGTTGAAAGAGCATTTCATACCAAGGTGGCCAGGGAATAGAGAAAGGGGGAATATAGGAAGGTTCTAGGGGAAGATAAACCCCCAAGGATGTCCCCCCAATGATGCATGACTTCCAAAGACACCTCCTAGTTACGCTGTGCTATGAATCCATCAAGGGTTAGTGGGTCAGTTAGGCTAGAGCTCTGTGATTTGATTGTCTCTGGAAATGCCTTCTAGACCCTCTGCCCTAAGCAGAGGTATGCTTTACTAATCTTCTAGGTATTTATTAATCCAGTCAAGGTGACAATTAGGATTAACCATCTCAGTGCGGTGAGGAAATTGCCAGAAGTAATTTACCACTGCAGGGAGGCAGTCAGTACTGAGGAGTGTTCTCTCCTATGAGAAGTTCTTGGTGACCCTTGCCAATGTGGCAGGATGGGTCAAGCCATAGGTGAGGAAACCGGACACGTAGATAGGAAGTGTTTCCCAGAGGTATTTTTTTTTTCCCCTTTTGTTTTGAGACAGGTAGTTTGTTGGACAGCGTCTCTCTATGTAGTCCTGGCTGTCTTCCAGGCTGGTCTTGCTCCAGTGCACAGAGATCCTCCTGCCTCTGCTTCTGAAGAGCTGGGATTAAAACCATGCACCACTATGCCCCACTACTAACAGTTTTATTTAAAAAAAAAAAAAAACCCTCAAGACAGGGTTTTTCTGGGTAGCCCTGGCTATTCTGGAGCTCACTGTGTAAACCAGGCTAGCCCCAAACTTGGAAATCTTCCTGTCTCTGTCTCCTAAGTGCTGGTATTAAAGGAGTGCACCACCACTGCTTGGCCTGTTAATAGAGGTTTTGATCTTATACTTTAAAGGGAGGCTTGGTGGAGAGGGTGCTGTTGGATTATAGATGGTTACCTTATTTGAGTAAGTTGCTGGGGCATGGGAAGAATTGGTACATTTGTCCTTATAATCAAGAGTACAAAAACTCTAGTAAATACTTTTCCTTTAAGGCTCTCTTTTTGGTAATTTTTATTTTAATCAGTCTAGCTTTACTTTCTTTGTGTCTAGTTTTCAAATGTTCTTAGTATTTTTCCATTTGTGCACATCTTAATTATTTCACAAAGAAACAACCGTTTATGCTGGCGGTGGTTGTGCATCCCTTTAATCCCAGCACTCAGGAGGCAGAGGCAGGTGGATCTCTGAGATTTCCAGGCTAGCCTGGTCTACAGAGTGAGTTCCAGGACACACTCCAAAGCTATAGAGAAACCCTATCTGGGGGAAAAAAAAACCAGAGAAACCATTTCCCTTGTATGTTTCTTCTTTGTAAGTACTAGTCATTCTGCCAATTCTTTGCATTAGTACCTGCTTCTTGCAAGAATTTCCCTTTAAGTGTAGTACCCCTTTCTTCCCCATGGTGGTTTGTTGGACAGAAGCATCAGGTTGATATTGGTAATGCTTGGGTTTGAATCCTCTTACTCACTAGATGACTGTCCTGACAGCTTAGTTACCTTTTCTGGGCCTTGGTTTCTTTACTGAATGGTGATGATAATCGAACCTATTGTTGACTATTTTGAGGAGAATTTAAGTGTGTTTGCAGTATTGTTGACAATAAATATGAGCCAATTTTATTTGTTTTTAGAGAATTCAGTTTACTGCTCAGCTCCGTCTCTTTTTTGGTGTTTCGAGACAGTTTCTCTGTGTTGTCTTGGCTGTCCTGGAACTCGCTTTGTAGACCAGGCTGGCCTTGAACAGAGATCCACCTGCCTCTGCCTCCCCAGTGCTGGGATTAAAGGCCTGCGCCACCGCCACCTAGCTTTGCCTTCTCTCTTGAAGTAGCAGTAGCTTCTGTATTACAGTCACACCATAAGGAAGTGTCTTATATATTAGAACCTCTTTTTAGTGGAGTTTGAGATATTGTATGTAAGCAGAAAGCCATAAGTGAGGAATATTGACTAGTTCTATTATTTAAAAAATTAATAGCATGTGTATGTTGTAGAATATTATTTTAAGATGGTGTTACTTTTGTTTATGTTGCATTTGTTTAACTCTGTGAAGCTGTGTTACTTTGCCTGTCTAAAACACCTGATGGTCTAATAAAGAGCTGAACGGCCAATAGCGAGGCAGGAGAGAGAAATAGACAGGCTGGCAGGCAGAGAGAGAGAGAGAATAAATAGAGGGAGAAATCTGGGAGAAGGAGATGGAGGAGCAAGAGAAGGAAGAGGACTCCAGGGGCCAGCCACCCAGCTACACAGCAAGCCATGGAGTAAGAGTAAGATTTACAGAAGGGAACAGGAAAAGCCCAGAGCAAAAGGTAGATGGGATAATTTAAAGTTAAGAAAAGGTGGCTACAAACTAAGCCAAACTAAGGCTGGACATTCATAATTAAGAACAAGCCTCCGTGTGTGTGATTTATTTGGGAGGTGGGTGGCAAGCCCCCCCAAAAGACCAGAAAACAAACGACATGTGTATGCATGATTATGTGTGCCTGTGTGCCTGCCACAATACACATGTGTATACGCGATTATGTGTGCCTGTGTGCATGCCACAATACACACGTGAAGGTCAGAGGACAGCTTGGGAGTTGATCCTCTCCTGCCTTTGTGTGGGTTCTAGACAGCGAACTCCGTTCCCCAGGCTTGGGTGGCAGGCAAGCCTTATTGGCCGAGCCGTCTCACTGACCCCATGATTTTGTTTTCTTTTATTTAGCATTAGTTATTTTGGACTTGTGCTTTAATTTTCTTGGGAAAATTAAATTTCCGTGTGTAACACGTTGCAAGCAGGCTGACATTGTGGCGTTCTCATTTCCTCAGGTAACAGACATCTACTTTGATTAATTATAAGGCTTATGTCATATGACTGATAATAATTCAGGTGGCATTTCTCTCTCTTTATTTTGAAACAGGGTCTCACTGGTAACTCCAAGGTGACCTTGAACTTGCTGTGAGGCTCAGGTTGGCCTTGAATGTGAGATCCTTCTGCCTCAGCTTCTGAATGCCATATCATCAACTTTGAGTTGCTGAGTGGAGAAGGCACCTTGCCATCCCTGTATATAAAACTTGGTATGTAAATTGGAACTAGTCACTTCTTTCTCAGACTTTTGTTTTCTTTCTAAAAAAATGTTTGTTTTGTTTTGTTTTTGGTAGGGTGGGGGCAGGGTTTATTTTTCTTCTTCTAAATGTAACCCCATACTATCAGCCTTGACCTTAAAATCTGTCTCAGTCTCCCAGGTGCTAGGATTACAGACATGTAATACCGTGTCTCTTAGCTTTCCATTTCAGTTTTTTTTTTAAAGATTTATTTATTTATTATGTATAGTGTTCTATCTGCATGTTTGCCTGCAGGCCAGAAGAGGACACCAGATCTCATTACAGATGGTTGTGAGCCACCATGTGGTTGCTGGGAATTGAACTCAGGACCCCTGGAAGAGCAGTCGGTGCTCTTAACCTCTGAGCCATCTCTCCAGCCCCCTTTCAGTTTTTGTAATATGACAGTTTAAATTCTTAACAGAGTTAGGCGGGGAAGAGAACAGTAGTTGAGGGGACACAGCTGAGTGCTTGCTGCTTTCCTTACCTCTGCCTTCCTCCTGTTTTAATTTGCTTTTTCCTTTCTTCTTCTCCTGCTGTCTCCGTTTTTTTTTTTTTTGTTTTTTTTTTGTATTACATAGTAACAAGCATTCTGAATCTGGCAGGTTAACAAACTTATATAAAGTCTACATTTTTTTAAAAAGATTTATTTATTTATTATGTATACAGTGTTCTGTCTGCATGTATGCCTGCAGGCCAGAAGAGGGCGCCAGATCTCATTACAGATGGCTGTGAGCCATCATGTGGGTGCTGGGAATTGAACTCAGGTCCTCTGGAAGAACAGCCAGTGCCCTTAACCACTGAGCCATCTCTCCAGCCCAAAGTCTACATTTTAAAGGGGATTGATTGGAAGTGTTCCTTAAGTTTTTGCAAGCTCCATGAAGATAATATAAGGCATGGTAAAGGCCAAGTGAGAAGAATGTGGACAGGGAGCTCCTGTTTGGTCAGAGTAGCCAGGGAAGGGTCAGCTAAGGAAATGAAGTGAGCCTTGAGGTGGGTTGGAAGTAGACAGAGGTTTAAGGAAGGTGCTCACAGTGAATGTTGAGGGGCAGTGGGGTTTGGAAGAGCGCATCATTGGCCAGCATTGAGGGTCAGCTGTTGAGGACTAAGGAGAGGAGAGTACATCCTTTGGGGGAGGCGTGGAGCAGAGACTTGAGAGACAGATCCAGTTAAGATCCTGCATGCATTTCATTCAGTGAATCAACTCAGAGTAATTGTCAGATGAACTAAAGTTGGATGAATTCTGGGGTATAGCAAGTGAAGAAGGCGGGTGGTCTTTTCACTTGTTCTGTCCAGGAAGTATATTGAGAAGCCTCGACTTGAGTTGGTTGCCATGATGCGGCTAGGACTGGTGATGGAGCCTTGTCCACAACCTTTGGCCTTTCCATTGGACTTCGTTTCCCGTCTGATCTTCTCTTGCCATAAAGTCTTTTTCCATCATGGCTCTTTATCTTCACTTCCGCTTTCCTTTTCCTTGGCTTGAGATTTTTGTTACCTGTGCCATAATTTTTAGGTGTCCATACACACACACACACACACACACACACACACATACACACACTCACGAGAGAGACAGACACAGAGACTGAGTCTTTTTTTTTTTTTTTCCTGAGACAAGGTTTGGTTATATAGAGACAAGGTTTCTCTATATAACAGTCCTGGCTGTCCTGGAACTTGTTTTGTAGACCAGGCTGGCCTCGAACTCCCGAGTGCTGGGATCAAAGGCGTGCGCTGCTGCTGCCGCCACCACCTGGAGAGACTGAGTCGTATGTAACCTAGGCTGTCCTTGTATGTCACCATCCTGGCTGGCTTGTATATTTTATGTTGACTACATGGAAATTGCTGGGGTATTTATATGGGTCTTTTCTTCTTTAGACATCTCAGTAACTAAGATTCTCAGAACACATCTATATCAGAGACAGTGGGCAGTAAATAGATGGAGCCAAAGAGGAGTCAGACCGGACGCTTCTTCAAGAGCTCACAGCCTGCTAAGAGAAAGCAGGCTGCTACCATGACCATGACCAAGAATGTGGCAGAGCTTCTGCCTTTGAGCCACCAGGACGAACTAGTGGATTTGTCAAACCACTACCCATTGAGTACAAGTGAAGATGAGGGGGACAGTGATGGAGAAAGAAAGTGTCAAAAGCTTCTGGAAGCAGTCAGTTCCCTTGGCGGAAAGAAGAGTTGGAAATTGGCAGAGAGATCGGAGGCTAGTCTGATGGTGTCCGAGTTCAATGTCACTTCTGAAGGGTCAGGTGAAAAGCTGGTTCTTTCAGATTTGCTGGAGTCTGCTACAGCTTTATCTTCGTTGACTGCTGTGAAAAAGCAACTGCTTAGGTCTAGGTCAAAGACTCTTGCGGTACCCCTTGACAAAAAAGAGGCTGACCAGATCCTCAGGGAAGCAGCATTCAGCAAAACCTCACAGATGCTCTCAAAGTGGGATCCCGTTGTTCTGAAGAACCGGCAAGCAGAACAGCTGGTTTTTCCTATGGAGAAGGAGCCGCCAGCTGTTGCTCCCATTGAACATGTCTTCACTGACTGGAAAACAAGAACTCCCCTGGAGCAAGAAGTTTTCAACCTCCTTCACAAGAACAAGCAGCCAGTAACAGACCCTTTATTGACTCCCATGGAAAAAGCCTCCCTTAAAGCCATGAGCCTGGAAGAAGCGAAAATACACCGAGCAGAGCTCCAGAGGATGCGAGCTCTACAGTCCTACTATGAGGCCCGAGCTCGAAGAGAGAAGAAAATCAAAAGTAAGAAGTATCACAAATTTATAAAGAAAGGCAAGACCAAGAAAGCCTTAAAAGAGTTTGAGCAGCTATGGAAGGACTACCCAAGTGCTGCATTGCAAGAACTGGGAAAAATGGAAGAGGCCAGAATGATAGAGCGCATGAGCCTTAAGCACCAGGGTGGTGGGAAATGGGCCAGGTCAAAGGCAATTAGGGCCAGGTATGACCTGGAGGCTCGCAAAGCTATGCAAGAACAATTGGCGAAGAACAGAGAACTGACACAGAAACTCCAGGTAGTTTCGGAGAGTGAAGCGGAGGAGGAGGAATGCACCGAAGAGGGAGTAATCCCTGCCTCTGATGGAATGGACCACCTCCAGATGGATGCAGCTGGTCGGAATCCCTGGATGCTCAGCACTTGCAACGGCGATGCAGCAAGGGGTGAGGTCAAGACCGACCCTGGACAGCTGCCCGAACTGGTGGCTGATGGGTCTTCTGAAAGTGAGCGAGATGAGAAAGCAGTGGCAGAAGAGCTTTTGGTGAAAGAAAAATTCTTTCAAGAAAGAGTTGAGCCCAACAGTGCTAAGCCAGTGGGTGGCCAAGAAACAGAAGACTCTGATAGCCAGGAGGTATTATCTGAATCGAGGGTATTGCTTCAGAAACTCCACAAGGAAAACCATCAATCTGAGCAGCAAAAAGGGAGCTCAGTGGGAACTGTTCTCCAGACCCAGAGAGAGGAACTTGCTCCGGAGGAGAGCCCGATGCTTCAAAGGCTAGAGAGAGCACATGTTCTGGAAGAACAAGGAGAGTTGAGCAAAGAGGGACATTATCCAAAAAAGGGGCTTCCCAGACCTATGGTAAAAGGAGAGGGGAAGGAGAGGAACCCACCCAGTATACCTGATGCCTCCAGAAAGAAGAGAAAAAAGGAACCAATGATTGATCTACAGAATCTCCTAACTACTAGACCTTCTGTGAAGTCTTTGGCAGTGCCCACAGTAGAGGAGTTGGAAGATGAAGTGGAGACAGACCACAAGCAGATAATAAAGGAAGCTTTTGCTGGGGATGATGTCATCAGAGAATTCTTAAAAGAGAAAAGGGAAGCTGTAGAGGCGAATAAACCAAAGGACTTGGACCTGACATTGCCTGGATGGGGTGAGTGGGTTGGTATAGGCCTGAAGCCCAGTGCCAAGAAAAGACGCCGTTTTCTTATTAAAGCTCCTGAAAGTGCTCCAAGAAAAGACAAGAATTTGCCAAATGTGATTATCAATGAGAATCGCAACATCCATGCAGCAGCTCATCAGGTGCGGGCTGTTCCACACCCATTCACCCATCACCAGCAATTTGAAAGGACTATCCAGAACCCTATTGGGTGCACATGGAACACGCAGAGGGCCTTCCAAAAGCTGACAGTTCCCAAGGTTAGCACCAAACTAGGCCATATTATTAAGCCCTTAAAAGCAGAAAATGTGGGCTACTGCTCTTCCTCAAGGTCCGACCTTTCTGTCCTACAGAGCAATCGGAAGCAGCTCTCCAAAAAGCAACAAAAAGAGCTGAAGAAAAGCTGTGCAGATTGAGCTGCCAGGGGTCTAGCATCTTTGTTCCTGGGACTAGGAACCTTGAGTGTTTCTCTTGGTTGCTTCATAGTGCTTCAGGGGTATTTCCTAAATTGACAGAACACTTTGTAGTTAAGCCACATTGTAGAAATAAGACATTTTTTTGTCTAGTAAAGGGCTTCCATTCCATTCTGAAATATATGATAAAGACAGAAATGATTCATTCATGGGAAAAATGACTACCATAAGTTAGAGTACCTATGTGTAGTACCTATCCTAGGATTAAAGAGGGGTCAGTGAGTGGACAGAGAAATTCAGTCTGGAATAAGGCAGAGGAAGTATGAGCAGCAAAGAATGCTCAGTTAGTTTAGATATTAAGTTAATAGCTTCTAATGTGGCTCATATATGTAATCTAGCATTCTGAGAGGCTGAGACAAAAGAATTATTTACTTGAGTGAGAACTTGGCTTTACAAAACAAAACAACCTCAAAAGTATTTTAGGAAGAGTTAATAGACAAAAATGAACAAATTCAGAGATTTGGAGAACACAATGAGGATAGAGGTGACTAGAGTTTATTTAAGAATAAAGTGTAACAGAATTGGGAGGATTGAAAAGTCAGTTGTGGAGGGCCTTAAATGCTTTGCAGATAAATTTGGAATTACATTTTATTTCTTTTCTCTTAGGCAATGTAGAGCAAGTAAGATTTGTATAGGGGATAGATGTGGTGACCTTTATGTTAAAGGAATGTGGGTGCCAAACTGGCAGTGTGCATGCAGGATTTATTGAGGGGGGTGAGAGTTAAAGACCTCAGCTACAGAAGTTAGAGTGAGCATGGGCAGGAGGGTGGATGATAGGAAGTAGAACAATCACTTGGCAAGAGATCTGGAGAATAAAGAGCAAAGGAAATTTTACTGCATGCTTTGAAGTTTTGAGCAGGGTTTTGGACCTGGGAGGATTTAGCTTTCCATTTATTTATTCTTGGAAAGATGAAAGGTAGAGTGATAAGTGTGAAGTGAAACTGAGCATAATGGGATAGTCCTTTTAATCCCAGCACTTGGGAGCAGGCAGAAGCAGGATAGCTGCAGGTTCAAGGCCGGGAGGGTCTACATAGTTCCAGGTAAGGATCTCATCGTTAGAGAGGGATCTTTTAGTAAGTGATGGCTAGAGTGGGCAGTGAGGGAGTGGCAAAAATGGGTTTAGAACTTTATAGACTTGGCAAGAACCACTCAGTAAGACACATGAAATAACTTCTTCTAGTTAGCCCCCACTAGGCATTGTCTAGGGAGGCTTCAGCTAAATTGGGCCCCAAAATGTGTGACATTGACCAGGGTTAACTGCAGCTGTCTCCTTGAGTGTAGAAATAGAGACTCTTGAGGGGGAGGTCATGTTTTGGCACTTAGTGCTCAAGATTTTTTCCATCAAGAACATGGCTGCCAAGAATGCATCTGTGAGTCTTTGGGACCAGATCCATGGGGCAAGTGAGGCTAGAAAGGGATGGTGTTCAGAGTGGGGGTCATACTCAGCCCATTGTAACTATTCATTTTTAAAATATTGAATTAGTTTTCTGTTGATGGGAATCTTGTTCTTGAGATCCACAAATCAAACTCTGTGGGTCCCTGCTTTTTACTTGTTTAATTTGAGTCATTTCAGTAAGGTAGTGCTCTGTAGGGTATTTTTTGTTCTTGCTTTTTGGTGAGTATAGTATTTACCATAAAGGAATACATTCTATGGAAAAATTTGAGTAGGGCAAATCTGTTGGAAGCAGCTTTAAATTTAGGATCACAAGAATTACTAAACTTATAAAATAGATGACAATGCTAAGAAAGTTATAATTTACATATTTTATATTTTTATATATTATATATTTATTATATTTTATAATTTTATATATAAATAAATAAAAGGATTATAGGAAAAGTCATCTAAATTACTAAATTTTGTTTTTTCTTCTCCCACTAATTGGGCCTCAAACCTTGGCCTCAGCCAGTTTAGGCAAGTGCTCTACCACTGAGCTATGTCTTCAGTTTTGTTTCTTTTTCTTTTTTCGAGAGCGTCTTAATCAGCATCTTAGACTAGCTTTGACCTTGATGTGTAGCCCAGACTGGCAGGCTGGCCTTGAGCTCTCCATCCTGCCTCCCCAAGAAACCTCTGGGATTAATAATCTTTTTCTATGATACTGGGATTGAACTCATGGCCTTATGTATGCTATTTATGAGCTCTGTTGATGAGCTATATCTGCAGCTGCCTCCCTACATTTAGAACTGTATCCCACCCACCCCCAAGGAACCCCCCTCCCCCCTTTTTTCTGTTTTTGGTTTTTCAAGACAGGGTTTCTCTGTGTAGCAGTAGTGACTGTCCTGGAACTCACTCTGTAAACCAGGCCTCGAACTCTCAGAGATCTGCCTGCCTCTGCCTCCCAAGTGCTGGGATTAAAGTCATGATTCACTATTGCCCGGCTCCTTTATTTTTAAGACAGGGTCTCATTAAGTTGCCCAGGCCAGGATTGAGCTCATTATGTAGTTCAGGTAGTCCTTGAATTTAGGAATTTACAGCTTAAGCTTTCTGAGTAGCCAGGCTTATAGGCATGTATCACTGTGCCCAATAACTCATTATTTAGCATCTCTAATTCACCCATGTGTTAGTTTTTCCATGCCTGCCTGCCCATATATTATCCATTCATTTATCCATCTACCCACCCACTCATCCATGTGATGTAAGTTTCACCAGGTTCTGTGATGATGGTCACTAGGGATAGAATGACTAAGAGACATTGTTCCTTCATGCATAGAGAAGATGGACATTAAACAGTTTTATAAACAATCATTTAATTATATAGCATAATAGATACTGCTGAGGCAAAATGTAGAAGGCGGTGAGAGTGGAAATCTTGGATGAAGTGGTGTTGCACAAATCCAATAGAAGAGGGATAGTAGCAGGGAGGTAGGGCACAGTGGGCAGTATACTAGGCCAGAGACGTAAAGCAGTTGGAATGAGGTGGAGACTTGGCACTGGGGCTAGTACCCAAGGCCCCCAGAGGGTGAGTACTTTGTGGAGACTCTCTAAGATAAAACTGGGCCTGAAGTATAAGGCATCTGATAAGAGAAACAAGTAAAAATAGTCTCAAAGGCTCTGAACTGAGAGTAGGCTGGGAAAGTTAGGGAACGTGGAGATTGTTCTGTGCCAACTGACCAGCAGTGTCTGTCTCAAGTCAGTTTACTCTTTTGATCTCACTACAAAAAGGTTAGTTTTATTACTACAGGACATGGAAGGAGGGGTTGGGGATTTAGCTCAGTGGTAGAGTGCTTGCCTAGCAAGCATAAGGCCCTGGACTCGGTCCTCAGCTCTGGGAAAAAAAAAAAAAGACATGGAAGGAGCTAACATTTTTCTTCCTGTGGTTCACATTATATGATTAGAAATGTTAGAATTTACCAGTCTTTTTTTTTTCTAAGTCAAAGTATCTATAAAAGCTTAACTATTATACCTAATTATAATTTATTGTGTTAGTTTTGGGATTACTCACTTATTGAGGCCGTTGGGAAACTTTTCAGCCAGACTACATAAAATTAAAAATTCTATAAAATTGTATGCTTTGCTTTTTTTTTTTTTTTTTTTTTTTTAATATATTCAGGCTGTCTTCAAACTCAGTCTCAAAATCTGCCTGCTTGTGCTACCATGCTTGGCTCGAGTTGTTTGTTTTGAGCAAGGTCCCACCATGTATCCCTGGTTGGACTAAAACTCGTTATGAAGACCAGGCTGCATTTGAACTTAATAGCTATTCCTCTGCTTCAGTCTCTCCCTCCCTTCTTCCTTCCTTATGACAAGGTCTCTCTATGTAACCCTGGCTGTCCTGGAACTTGCTATATCGACCAGACTGGCCTAGAGCTCTCAGAGATCCTCTTGTCTCTGCCTCTTAAATGCTGGGATCATTATGAGCCACGTTTCAAGTTTTATGTTTAGAAGAAATATTTCAAGTTAGTGTTGGATTTTCCAGGTTCTATTTAGTTTCTTGTTTAAAAAAAAAAAAAAGTCATAAATTGGCTCAATGTTGTGATTTTTAGTATATAAAATTTGTTCCTGTCTGAATGTGTAGAAATCATTATGTACGTATTTCTTTAGGATTTTCCTTGGTTATAACAATATATGTTCTATATGAAAAACAAAATATGTAAAAGCATAAAGATGAAATGTTAACAATCAGTACTAATTTTGCATCTCAAATATGGCCACTGCTGATATTTTGGTGTTTTTTGTTAACAAGTGATACTATATTGTTTATATTTAGTATTCAGCCTACTTTTCCTTGTCATTATGTCACAAGCAATTACCGTGTTAGTAGATGTTTTGAATATTTTTAGTGGCTATATAATAATCTAGTGAATGTACATGTCATAGTGTGTTTGACATTCCCAGTTATTGTGTGTTTGCTTATTTCTTTTTGAATGCCTGTTACAAATGACTAATGGAAAGCTTGAAATGTTTTCTTTATTAAAGATTTCAAGAAGTGAAAATACTGGGTAAAGGATATGAAAAACTTGAGTGCTCTTAATAAAAATCACAAACTTGCTTCCGAGTGGTGGTGCTTCATTCTTGTGGCCTCATCATGAGGGTGACTTAATTTTATTGGTGCTTGCATTTGAGTACCCAAAGCCAGAAGAAAGACCCCCCCCCCCCCCCCCCCGGTTTTTTTTTTTGAGACAGGGTCTCTATTATGTAACCCTCCACAAACAACTTGGCCTCTTGAGTATTTGGTTAAACCAGATGTTCTGATTTAAATAGTCACCATACTTCACCATACTTAACCATTATCTATATTCTACTGAAAGATTTGAAGAACACTACTGCTCAGGTGACAACATAAACCCTTCAACGATTTACTGGTTGTTGAGTGAGTTGACAGAGATCCAGGTAACCAGATTTTTTATCCCCTTGCTTTTCTTTGAAATTTCTAACCTGTTTTTCAGAAGCAAAGACAAAAGATTCCTTACTGTGTTTTCTGTGATGTTTCTTGTTTTACTCTTTTGGAAATAAGTTCATAAAGTGACAAAAACAAAAAAGCAAAACTAAAAACAAAGACAGCTGGAAGCCTGGACAGTCATCAAAAGTTCCTTTGTAAAGTTGGGCATCTGTCTTCAGCCCACAGGCCTAGAGTCTCAGTCACTTCTCTCTGTGTCCTGTGTCTGGCAGTTTACTCTGCAAAGCAGAAACCTGAAGGACCATTTCACCAAGCAGAGTTCAGTGGTCAGCTTCCTACGGGTTCTGCATGTCCAGTCGATACATTTGTCAAGCAGTCCAGGCAAGAACAGTTTCTTGCCCAAATGTCTATTTTTGCCAAGAAGATAAACTCCATATAGAGTGTCTTTGATGCCCATCTTCTCTGAAGTAAATCGGTGCTGCCAGGAGCAGACATGTCTCACTGTCCAGAAAGTCTAAATTTTTAAATGCCTTATTCTATAGGTCTTTGAAGTGTTTGAAGATTACCTACCTAATTGAATTATATCTATGTATACCTAGAAAAATTAACAGGACTGTAAGTTTGACTATTGTAGAAGACTCATTAATCTGTATTTTAAATTACCCATTATAATCTAAATGAGTTACATAAACATAATACCTCAAACGAGAGTAGAAATATATATATAGTGTAACAAAATTAAGTTTAAACTTGTATCAGTAAACTAAAATCCATAGCAATGTAAAACATTTCTAAACAAGTTGCTCTTTAAAAGGTTCATTAACCTACCCTTTTATCCTATCATATCTATACTATCTCCTTTTTTTCTTTAGAAACAGATTGTATTTATAATCAACCTGTTTTAAATAAAAATACTGGTTTTCCTCTGTCCCACACCACAGGGCTCTTGATATGGGACAGAAGAATATCTCAACCTTTTGTTTTACCAATATGCTTGGATTTAGAGAAGGAGTGAGCCAATTCCATCTCCAAAGCCAGCTTGGTATATTTGGGAATTTAGGTATGGCTTCTCATACTGCTTCCTGCTGGATTAGGGCACTGTATTCTTATGGGGACACAAAGAAAATTTCAGGATTATGGAGTAGTCGGTGAGGCTGTATTGTCTGAGCCAGTTGCCTCGAAACGGTTCTGGATGTTGGTTCATCTGGGCCATGGTGTCATCGGAGACTTTTCAGGCGGTTTTGGCTGGTCAAACCTGATGTATCTTAATCTGGAACAAATGCATAGCCTCTTGCTTTCTGTGGAAACAAAAGCAGAGCCTCCTTTCCAAAGCAACATAGCCTTAGATCTGAATTTTGAAGTCAAAATACCAGTATATATAAATATTGGTTTAACTGAGCAGCCTTTACAAATCAAATGTCTTTCTGCAGTTAAAACTCCCAAAGGCAACACAATCCAGATTCTCTGTGTGATATCCATCTTTACGTGGCTTTTAAAAAATATTTTACTTTCTCTTTAAACACTTTATTTTTTAAAACTATTTGTTTATATAACTGCATATATTACTTTTTTTCTCTCTTCCAAGCCTATGTACATTTTTACACACATTGTAAACTGTTTAGAGGTTTATCCCATCTGAATCTGTCTTACTGTGAATCTCTTGCTTTAAACTGCAGCATTCTCTGCCCGCCTCAGCTTGTCAACATGGCGGAACTACGTTTACTGCCAGCTCTGGGTCTGGGAGCCATGTTTGCCATCAACTCTCAGAAACAGTGGGTTTGTGCTTCTATCAAAACAGTGTGTAGCCCAGAAACTTTTTTTTTTTTTTGGGGGGTCTGTACTAGCAAAGGCTAAATCCACGCATTCCCGCCATGCTGTAGGTCAAGCCCGCATACCACGAACCCGCCATAGAGAAGCTCAAGCCTGCAGACTGTGGCTAACTTAGAATCTTTAGAATCATCTTACCGCCCGGGCCCACAGCCGCTCACATACAGAGGCTTATATTAATTATGAACTGTATGGCCTAATGGTTCAGGTTTCTTGCTAGCTTGTGGGAGCCCATTTTCAGGTTCCTTGTGGCTTTACCCAGCAGGTCCGCATAGAGAGGATGATTGAACCACAGGCCTGAGTGCAGGTGTCTGAGATGGTCTGCACTTGTGTGTGCTGGGGGGAGGTCTTTTGTTCCACCCCTTGGCATCTCTATAAATACCTTGGAGCAGAGACAGTCAGGGCCCTCTCGAGGCTATCCTTTATTTTCTGTTTATCTCCACAATCTAAATCCGTCTATCTAATACTTCCTGTTGCTCACACTCAAGAAAACTCTGGGGAACTGTGGAGTTGGTGGGTAAATGCCCTGCACTAGCTAGATCTTACATCTTAAATTAACCCATTTCTATAAATCTATACCTTGCCACGTGGCTCATGGCTTATCAGTATCTTTACATCTTGCTTCTCATGGCAGCGTCTCCTGACTCAGCCTTCCTGTTCCCAGAATTCTCTCTGCTTGTCCCTCCTATACTTTCTGCCTGGCTACTGACCAATCAGCACTTTATTAGTCAATCAGAGCAACACATTTACAGCATACAGAGCGATGTCCACAGCAGCACTGGGATTCATGTCAGGGGAGGAGAAAAGTAGGATTTGTAAATTCTCATAGTATCAATGACTGTACCCTGTCCATTTGTGTGTGAGAGGGAACCTTCAGCAGCCCTCTCCAGTGCTGGACCTCACAAGGGTTCAGGTGTGCACTCTACCACTGAGTAGCATGTCCAGTCCTCAACAGATGCGTGAACATTAGCTAATGGTTACTTTATGGCTAAAATATTTTCTCTTTCATTTCAAATTGGAACTAAACGAGTAGAGAAGATAGCTCTCTGAAGGGGATGGAGTGAATAGAAATGACCCAGTGGTTTTAAAGTGGTGCTGATGTTAAGTCCTGAGGTCTCCCCTCCAGGATGTTCTGGCAGTAGGAGTGGGTGGAAGAGACTCAGGAAAGGGTTAGGGAGAAATCCACTGAAGGATGCAGAAGAGGGACTAGTACAGACTAGAGAGGCACAGCGGTGGAAGGATCGTGTAGGGAGTTGGGAATTTGAGAATGGAGCACTTGGGCTGCAGAGATGAACTGAGTCAGGCCAGGATGGCCTGAGATACTGGAGAGGACCTGGAGAGGTCAAAGGAAATGGTACTAACGACATCAGGGAAGGATGGAGTAGACTGCTAGAATTGGGCTGCTTCTGAGTAAAATATGGTTTTGAAAATTTGTGTTTAAGCAATTCTCTTATTAAATAAAAATTATTATTATTATTATTTTTTTTTGGTTTTTCGAGACAGGGTTTCTCTGTGTAGCTTTGTGCCTCTCCTGGAACTCACTTGGTAGCCCAGGCTGGCCTCGAACTCACAGAGATCCGCCTGCCTCTGCCTCCCGAGTGCTGGGATTAAAGGCGTGCGCCACCACCGCCCGGCTAAAAATTATTTTTTAATAACAGAAACATTAAAGTCTTTTATTTGTGTGTATGTGTGCATACTCGTGTATGCCATCGCCCTCTTGTGGAAGTCATGGCATTTTATGGGTGTCGGTTCTTGCCTCTGCCCTGCAAGTCCCCGAGTTAAAGCTTGGGTTGACAGGTACTTGATAGCAAGAACTTTTACCCACTAAGCCATCTCTGGCCTAAATATATATATTTTTTGGTTTTGTTTTTTGAGACAGGGTTTCCTCTGCATAGCCTTGGCTGTCCTGGAACTCACTTTGTAGACCAGGCTGACCTCGAACTCACGGAGATCCATCTTCCTCTGCCTGCTGGGATTAAAGGCCTGCACCTCTCCCCAACCCCCAGCTTGGCCTAAACATTTCTAATGTCTAAGGGAAGTGCTTAACAGCCTAAACAGGTATCAGTGTACATGTCAGGCCTGTTTAGAGTTTTCTTTTTCTGAAGGTCAGGTTTGTAGTTTTCCTTAGAATTTGAAAGGTTAAACAGGTGACAGCCCAGATGGGCAGGCCTGTCTAATGCTCTGGGCTTACTATGTAGATCTGATCTTTCAAGTATCGAGATAAAAAGAAAAACATACTTGCTATTTTCCTAAGGTTTTTTTTTTTTCTTTTTTTAGTGAGAAATGTCTGTATTGACATTTGTTTTAATTATGAGTACTCACTATACAGCTACCTATTGCCCTTTAAAAATTATCTTGGTTCTAAAATGATTTTATAGGCATAGGACATGTGGGCCAGCTTCCTTTCCTCCTCTTCCTCTTTCCAGTTCCCACCCTAGCTTTGCATATAGCAAATTTTAATTATCTGTATTAATGTTTCGAAGGATGTTTAGTAAAATTTTTTGGCTAAATTATGAAATGTTCCTTTTTCTTTTTCTTTTTTTCTCTGAGACAGGGTTTCTCTATCATCGCAGTTCCGGCTGTCCTGGAACTCCGTAGACCAGGCTGGCCTGGAACTTGGAGATCTGTGCACCACCACTACCTGACTTGAAATGTTCCTTTCGAGCGCAAGGTTTATTATTTGTTTTTTATTTTACACAGTTTGCTTTTATTCAGACTGTATTGCCACAATGCTGGCTTTGTTACCATATTTTACACAGTTTGCTTTTATTCAGACTGTATTACCACAATGCTGGCTTTGTTACCATAAAACTAAACATAAGAC